ACGCCACATTCCACCACCAAGCAGCACCGCCACGTATCGTGCGACTCGAAGTCTCGATTTTTCCCGAAACAGGTACGAAGCCCTGATCTCTATGCTGTGCGATGTGTATGTTCTGCCTTGGTGTGTTGCTAGCAATCTCTCGCAGACCGGCAACGAGATCCGTCGGAACGTTCTCGATCGGAATGTGCAAGGAGATGGTTGGAATGAGCACCGAATGGCTCGTTTGCACCTCCCCATCGAGCGAGGGCAGTGCCGGTGTTGCGGACAGCACATCGGCTGAAGTTGCTGCGGCGGACATGATGAGCCCAAGTGGGGGGGTCAGTCAGTCTGACAAAATCGCGCGCGTGCGAGTTGAGATTTTGGGGCGGAGCCTGAAGAGGATGGGATGTGGGGGGCTTGCTGAGGGCGATCGATGAGCTGGCAAACCGTTAAAAGGCGGGAAAGAGAGGATTGGATATGCGATGAGATTTGCAAGTTGGATCAAAAAGGTGAAGAAAGTAGGTCAGGACGTCGTGCGTGTCGATGGAATGAATGTCATTGATGGACCTATCCAATTCGAGCGGTCGTGAGTGAAGGATCAAGTTGTGAGTGAGCCTGATCTGATGAGTACTGTATGTTCGCGGTGCGTACTCGCACTTTGACTGTTCCATGTGCATGCATGCATGCATTCACCCTCTCCATCAGCAGCACGCAAGCACGGCGACTTGCAAGTTGCAAGTGCGCGTTCGAGTGCCCCGCCCTCCACAGCTGCAGTGCTCCGTGCCCACTGGACCCATGGAATTTACCGTACCGTACCGCTCAGAGCAGAGCTTCTCGCTCGCTCGCTTCGATGCAACTCTGCCAGATCAGCTGGTGCATGCAGCACACATGCACCATGCACTTCCGGTTCGGCCTCTTGAAGCGCTCGCTCGCTCGCTCGCTCGCTCATGGCATTCGTGATTTGTGCAACACTCACCACTCTTGACTTCCGCCCTCATGAACTTGCAATTCATCCGCGCGTCCCTCCGCGTGTACGACCCCCCCTCCCAAAACCCAAAGGCTCGCATCGCATCGCAGCTAGACGGCAACTCGCCAGTGCGCTGCGCTCACACCCCAGCAACAACTCTTGACTGTCCCTGTCGCAAGACGGCAGCACACATCGCCTACTGCCGATTCGTCAGCGAGAGTCCAAAATCTCATGCATGATCAACGGACTTGTTGAATCCTCTTGCACTCGCTGGACACTGCGAGATCAAGCGTCGCGGATCAGGGAAAGCAGGTATATGATCGTTCGCGATGATCTGATGTGCGAGAGAGAGGCCAAGTAGGCTACAAAAGCAATGGTTGCAATGCAAGGAGAAGAAGAGGGAGGGATTACAGAGGCATCGAGAAAGGCGGGCCGAAGAAATACGAGACGGTCCTAAGTGCTCCGACATGACGAAGTTGGTTTTTGCTTTTTTTCATTTTTTTTTTTTATTTTTTCTTAAGCTATGAACTGACCAGTCGATCGAATCGACGAGTCAATCGGCGCGCTTCATCGTGGCATAGCGTCCGATAAAGCAGAATCCATGGCCCACCTGATCGGCCCGTCACTTGGTCGAGAAGATGCATTTACAGGGTCCGCGTTAGGCGCGATGGGAGCCGTCGCGCTCGGTGGTGCCGAGGGACGTTCGAGAGTTGGAGCAACGGCGCTTCCAAGCATGGACGCGTCCGTAGGCGGAACACTCAGCTGAGCAAAAGCGTTCAGGTAGCTGGATGATGGGGGAGGCGCGCGCGCAGAAACATTCTGTGCTCAGCATCGCGATCGCGGCCATTTCAAAGATGGTCAAAGGGGTCATGCTAAACTCACTCGGACTGGAAATTAAGCCAAGGGAATCGATCTTGATGCGCCAGGGGCACAGCACCCATATACTGGTCAGCAGCACGCAGGTAAGATTGCGCGTCCGAAAAGTCGTTCGGACTGCCCATGTAGGGTGCCTGCGAACCGTCTTGCTGCGGCACGCTCCAATCTGGGCTAAAGTCGATGTAGTCTTGAATGAATGTGCGAGCTGTGCGCTGGACTGAAGATGCTGCATCCGGGAACGCAGCGGTGGTTGGAGCACTGGCAGAATTCGAGCTAAAGCTCTGAAAGCCTGTTGAGAAATCAGGAGGTCCTAGCGCTGGGGCTAGTGGCATCTCAGCGAGCACAGCGCGTCGAGCGTGCTGTTCTGGCAGCGACACTAGAGGTGCCACCTGGATTTTGCTCTCCATCGGCTCGAGACCCGAATCATTGGCCTCGCGGGGCGCCGACTGCTGACCAGATGCGCGCTCTCGAGCAACCCCATTCTTCGCCTGACTTTTCCCAGCTGACTCCTCGCTCTTCCGCTCCAATAAAGCTGCAACGACTTGACGATGATGTTCCGCTGCACTCCACGACTTGCCCATTTTCCCCAGCCACCGCAGCGTCTGTTCTAGCTGTTGCTTGGCTTCCGCAACCACGACGGGGTCGGGCGAGGTGGTGTTTGCGAGGGAAATGGTTGCCGAGGTGTACAGCACGTACACGAGCAAAGTCGACGACTTGCGTATATCGAATGTCTCTTCGTACAGCTGGAACAGCTGGCATATATCGCGAGCACTTTCGGAGCAGACGACGTGCGAGGAGGGCATATCGCCGTGGTGCTCCGGAAACTTCGTTTTGATGTAAGGCCGATGAAGCACAATCATGATGGCCCTCCACCACAAATATTGACTTAGCAGTTGCGGCATCTGATTCTCGCTCCTGCTAATATCGAGACAGCTTGGCATTTCTTCTCTCCATCTCACCAAATCTCGATGACAGCGCGCTACAGCTTTGCCGGTTGGCTCGCGTTTCGCTGGATCGACCTTGCTGTGAATTGTGTTGTACTGCAGGCGCAAGGGGAGCTTCAAGTAAGCAAGGGCCTGCTCGACCGGTCAGACAGCGGTCGTTGGGATCATTTCTTACCTGAGCAATTACGCCTTCCGCACATTGAGCCAACTTGGCTCCAGCAATTTGAAAGGTGATGCTTCGCGGTTTTGCATCCCTGAGCTTCCACAGAGTCGGCGGTCTGAAAAACATGGCGGCGCCAGGTCCATCCGTCCAGAGCTCCTTCTCATCTGGAGAAAACTTTTCGTCCGCCGATGGAAAGGGGCAATCCGTCTCGACGTCACGCAGGATAGGCGGGCGACCCAGTTGTAAGCTGAGGCATTTATCCATCATGTAGCAGCCCCAAAAGAGGCGACGTCTGCATTGATCTTCGGCGACGCTGTACGAATGACCCAAGGCTCTAGAGACGTCCAGGTGGCGGTGCAAACCAATGTCCAGGCTCATCCTGCTTGCTGCACCAGAATACTGGGCACACTGCGACATTCGCCCCGCACCGCATTCGTGCAGAGCCATGAACATGAGAGCTGCGACATTGGAGAGGGACGATTCGTGGTTGATGCGCATGAGAAAGTATTTAGCTCTGACAAAGAAGATGGTGCTGATCTCCCGCGAGGTTACTGGCTTGAGAGAGTCTCCGCTGCCATTCGCCAAGCCTGACGCTTCGCTTGCGGCACGAGCGGCCTGATCTTGAAGCAGAGCAGATTCCGTCTCGTCATCGATGGATGCGCTCACCAATGCGCAGATGGCATTAAACAGCAGCGGCTCCTCCTTTTCGCTGATCTGAGGCACGCCGTTCTTCACGGGAATCTTGGGCTTGTAGAGCAAGGGCCAGTGCATGGCGCAGGTCATCCAGTATAAGGCAAAGAGCCTGTCGATGATGATTTCCGGAATTGTCACATCTATGATCTCGTTGTAGGCGAAAAGTTCCTCCATTCCACAAATGTCTGGGCCCGTTCCTATGGCTTCTGAGAGCCGTTGAGAACCTCTCAGGTTTCGAATGGACGCGAGGTAGTGCGGCAAGGGTTCAGCAGTCATTCTGGGTTCGCGCGATGACACCATTTTTGTCCCTCTGCGCTCATCGTACACCCCCTCCAGACCCGCACCCGCGAAGCGAGAATCATCAAAGGTCTCCGTCCAATGGTGATGAGGGCGATCCTCTGTCAGTGCAGTGGATGCCGATGCATATCTGTTTCTCTCATCACCTCGCGAAGAAGCGCCTTGCGAGCTCTCAGTGCGAGATCTCGAGCTTCGCGTTGTGGTGGCGGCGTCGTGCAAGAAACCCGTTGATTCTGAAGCGTGGTGAGGCGGACCTGCCCAAGCTGCTCTGGTTCGACTCGTGCCTCCCCGCGTAGATGCGTCTGGACCCCATTGTCCCATGTCCGGGATGCCATCCCGCGGCGTGTGGCTCGTACCAGCACTAGATGAGGAGCGCAAGCGAGACAACTTGGGAGGCGGCAGATACGGCTCGAACGAGCCTGATGCTACAGCCATGCCACTTGTGCTGCCGCGATATTGAAGATGGGTGGTATGGGCTGCTGGGTCGAGTGGTCTGATGAAAGCACCTTTGAGGAAGGGATCCTGTAATGAGCGCCTCCTTTCGCGTGATTGGTATGACTCTTCCCTTTGCCGCGAGCACAGGCTTGACGGCAATTCGACGCTGCTATCGGTTCGTGGCTGCGCTGGTCCGCGCTGTCCATGCCTATCGGCCGCTTCTCGCGCCACCTCATCGGTATAGGTCTCTCGAAGTGATGCACCATCCTCAGCTTGCGCCTCTGAGTGGTCCAGGGAGGATCTATGTGCAAGAGAGGTAGCGTAGCTGTCGGTTGATGGGCGATGCCCATTGCTGGTATGCGCGAGACGTTCGGAGCTCAAAGCGGTGGTGCGGGCGCGAATGGAGCCTTTGGGTGGACCACTGCGAGCAGTTGTGTGCATTGAATGCGACTTGTGAGCCACATCGAGACGGCGTCTGCTCGGAGCTACTCCATACCGACTCACCGCTTCTTGGCTTGCCCGTACTCGCAGACAGCGTGCGTGCGCACACAGGTAGCGCAAGGCTGTTGACCATCGCACTTTACCCGCTTAGCGCTGCAGAGCTGGTTACGCAGCAGACGAGGTGGGCGGAGAAGAAGGGGCGGGCGGGGGGGGGGGGGGGCAAAGTCGCACTTGGCAGAGGCAAAGATGTTCCCGTG